TACGTGGTTAGTGGAGGGATGCATGCTTGCAGGGGTATTAGTCCGTGGATGGTGGAGGGATGCATGCTTGCAGGATATCAGTACGTGGTTAGTGGAGGGATGCATGCTTGCAGGGGTATTAGTCCGTGGATGGTGGAGGGATGCATGCTTGCAGGATATCAGTCCGTGGTTAGTGGAGGGATGCATGCTTGCAGGGGTATCAGTCCGTGGTTGGTGGAGGGATGCATGCTTGCAGGGTGTAAGTCCGTGGTTAGTGGAGGGATGCATGCTTGCAGGGGTATTAGTCCGTGGTTAGTGGAGGGATGCATGCTTGCAGGGATATCAGTCCGTGGAGGGATGCATGCTTGCAGGGGTATTAGTCCGTGGATGGTAGAGGGATGCCTGCTTGCAGGGCATCAGTCCGTGGTTAGTGGAGGGATGCATGCTTGCAGGGTGTAAGTCCGTGGTTAGTGGAGGGATGCATGCTTGCAGGGGTATCAGTCCGTGGATGGTGGAGGGATGCCTGCTTGCAGGGGTATCAGTCCGTGGTTGGTGGAGGGATGCATGCTTGCAGGGTGTGTGTGGCTGGCAGCCAGCGAAGGCGGCCCGCCGCAGTCGGCGGGCTAGTTAATAAAGGCAATAAACAAATACCCGACGTAATTAGAGGCTTATATAGCCGTGATCCCGTCGGCGTGCTTTGATCTACGCTCCGTCAACAAACACACCGACGAGCCACGCTTCCTCGCGGCAGCTGTGTTTTCCTTCGCCGCCAAAATTTATCGTCGTGGCGCGCGCCTCGTATAGAGGGCGCTCGCGTGGCAATGGAGTCGTCGCGGTGACGTCACGCGAGGCCGCTTAATTAAACATATTTATTATGCGGAGGAGGTTTCTTTGCGGTTACTGTATAACGCGTGTTCACTACTATAGAGAGCGTGCGCAGATCCGCGCACTTGCCGTCTGTGCTGTTGATTTTGCTTGCCGAAAATTAAGTTTTCGTATCTGTCCGGGAGCGTACCGTTCTACCGTACCACATTGTTCTATTAGAATCCGCTTTATACTTAACGCTTATATCTTAACTATAATACCGCTCTACCGTACCACATTGTTCTATTAGAATCCGCTTTATACTTAACGCTTATATCTTAACTATAATACCGTTCTACCGTATTGGCGGTAGCGAAACGTTTGCGTGACTGCTGTGTTGCGGTTAGTCAACAGGTCGCTGGAGGTTCTTCCTCCTTGAGAACGCGTCGTCAATTTGTGGCATTAGCAAAGCGATGTTTTTGAAGTGGAAGCTAAAAATAATATATATATATATATATATATAACATCACGCACATGTACACACACGCGCGCGTTGGCGTCTGTTTGTACACGAAGGTAAAAAATAATGTATTATCAAATTTTTTTTTTATATTTATTTATTTATTTATCTATACCAGATTATATGAAAATACGAATCGCTTGCCGAGTTTTCATGTATGAAAATCACCGTTGGGGTATTAGCTTTAGGGTAATAAATGTTATACACGCAAGGAAAATCGGTTCGTACAACGTGAGACGTGTAAAACAAGAATAGATAAAAACAAAATAATGAAAAAATATGCACTTCCCAGCGTGCTGCTTGAAATACTCTAAAGTGCACTAGATGGGAGGGTTGGTTCATAAAATACTCGTGCGCTTTGCAAACATTTCAGAATGTCGAGAACAGCGCCAGTAACCTTCGGCAAACTTCGGACGGTTCCGCCGACCTGAGCCCGAACAGTCTTCGGGCGCGCGACCCGACCCCCGAGGGGCGTCACCATCGACGGCATCACCACGGCGACCACCGTCACCATGACGACGTCAACAGCACCGACGCCAACGGGACGGCGACGTACGACGATGCGTCGACGGCGGCGTACGGTAACGTCACGTCATCTCTCAGCGATGCCGCTGACGGTGCTGCGAACTTCAGTCTAGCAGACGATCAACAAGCAGCGCACGCGCGCGCAGCAGACGACGACGTCGCCGACGGCAGCGTGGCCGACGATCGACCAGCCGACGATGGCGACACGATCCTGCTCGATCTAAACGGCGGCCGCGCGAACGCCGACGTGCAGCGACAGGTGGCGCCGACTAGCGCGAGCAAGGTGAAACTCATCGACCCGCACACGCGCGAGAACGAGCTAGAGAAGACGAGCGGCAGCAGCAGTGATAGTAGTAGTAGTGATAGTAGTGGTAGTAGCAGCAGCAGCAGCACGGCGACAGCACGGCTAACGGCGGGCAGCACAAAGGCATTTATCGGACTTCAGAGCGGTATCAACCCCGATATAGAGGTTACTATAGAAGTGCTGCACGAGCAGCGAGGCGGCGCCGCAGCGTCAACGGCGCCGCTGCTGTCGCCGCTCGCGCCCGACATCTACCGGCAGACTGCCGACGACGACGATGGCGATTACGATTACGTGTACGACTTCGACGATCTGTATCCGCCGCCAGGGGGCAGGGACGACGGGCCGTTGTCGCTGGGTGTAGAGCGAGGCGACGACGACGACGATGATTCGACGGAGCTCGGCGTTTCCTTCGAGATGGAAGCGGTTGGCAGCGGTGATATAGAGCTACCGGGTGAGTGTGTGCGTATGTTTGTGGGTGCGTGCGTGCGTGCGTGCGTGTGTACATGTTTGTGTGTGCGTGTGTGCGTGCGTGCGTGTGTATGGGCGTGTGTGCGTGCGTGCGTGTGTATGTGCGTGTGTGTGCATGAACGTGTGCGTGCGTGCGTGCGTGTGTATATGTTTATTATGCGTGTATGTGTGTAGCGTATGTTTGTGTTTGACAGTGGGTACACTTATATAAAATATCTACAGCGGCATTTATACGAGCTTACAACCGGATTCAGTATCATCGCAGATTTACACGAATATGCAAACAAATTAATATATAATTAATATATATATATATATATAAATAATGAATAATGAATAAATAATAAACAAATCAGATATTAACATAAAATTAACAGCGTGATTACAGAATTATGGACTAGATTATAATGCCATCCACTGAACTGCATTGTTTTAGTGCAATTGTACGAGTGGTCGTCATGGTCAGCCTGCAGCGTCACCTGTGGCGATGGAGTGAAAGAGCGGGAGAGGCCATGCGGCAAATACTGTGTAGAGAAACAGTCGTCCCCGTGCCGGGGCATCTGCGAGGGTTTAGGTGAGAATATAGCTGGTATACTGCTGTGCCGTATATTTATATATTTATATCGCGCGCGCGTGCGTGCGTGCGTGCGTGCGTGCGTGCGTGCGTGCGTGTGTGTGCGTGCGTGTGTGTGTGCGTGTGTGTGTGTGACTGTGTGTGTGTGTGCGGTGGATTGTGGGTGGGGTGTGTGTGTGTGGTGTGTGTGTGTGTAGTGTGTTGTGTGGTGTTGTTGTTGTGTGTAGTGTTGACTAGGTTCCCCCGCCATGATACAAGCTCAATTCCTGCTCGCCATCATCGCAGCGCCATTTTCTCCTATACGCTCAGATATACCAACCTGATTTTGACCGTTCCGGAAGTAGTGCTTCGCCTACGTCATCGACAGTACTGCTGTTTCCGTCGCTATTGGATCTGCCCGATGACGTCATCACGGCACGATCTCTCCCGTTTACGATGACGAAGGTGAGTACAGTCGCTGGAAAACGAGAGGTATATGTTTCTGTGTCACTAGCAGTTAAGTACTACATGAAGGACAAGAGGTACATGCAACTACTGTGTTACAACAAGTAGTAAGGAAAACAATAGGTACATGTATCTGTCGTGAGAAGAAAGGGGAGAGAGGGGAAGAGAGAGAGAGAGAATGAGAGAGAGCAGAAAGAGAGAGAAACGGAACAGGAGCAAGAGAGAGAGCAACGAGAGAGGAGAGACGCTGTGTAAGAGAGAGGGAGCCCAGACGAGAGGAAGCAGAGAAGAGAGAGTAGGCAGAGATGAGAAGGAAAGAAAGAGGAGAGAAGATGAGGGAAAGAGAGGAGATGAGAGAGCGAGGGACGAAGCGAGAGCAGAGAGAGAGAGAGAGGAAGAGGGGAGAGGGAGACGAGAGAGAGAGGAGACGAGACGAGAGAGGGAGAGGGGGGGATGAGAGCGCGCGCGAAGCCGCACTCAAACGCCACGCCGATAACTAGCGACGTTTGACGTGACATACAAGCCGACGTCTCTGTCATCTCGCTTAGCGTCGCCGATCCTTCCGTTTTTATGATCAACAGAAGTGCCAGCATGGCTTAGCCATCTCTCGACACTCCCCTCCCCCCCCCCCCCCTCTTCTCCTCCCCTCTTCCCTCTCCTCCCCGCGCAACACGCTCCGAGCGCCGCGCCATGCTTCTCCTTTCAACGCGCAACGCCGGTCTTTGCGGGATCATTCCGGCTAGTTTAGTGCGGGTCCGTGTCGGCGGGAATCGATATATGGAGGAGCTCGTATACTCGGAAGGAAGCTGCTGCTACGTATTTATACACGGCGCAGCGGCAATAATGCCGGCTAAACGCGTCGCTGCTGCAGCCGCGCAAACAACAATCTTGTTGCTCGCGCGTCCCAAAAACGCCGCGTTAAATCGATGGGTGCCGCGTTGACGCGGCGGCGTTGAGCGCCTAATCGCCTTGCTTCGTGCTTCCGTCTTAATCGTCGATGATTGCGCGGGCGTATCTATATAATCCGTTAGTCAGCAGCGGGATGGGAGAAGAGGATAAAAACGTCTCAGTGGGGGGGGGGGACTTCGCACACGCATCATTCTATCTCCCTCTCTCTCTCTCCTCTCTGTTCTCCTCTCTCTCTCTCTCTCCTCTCTCCTACTTCTCTCTGCCCGCATGTAGCTGCATTTTGAAGATATATGATATATCTGAATTAGATAGATATTATAGGATATAGTATATATATATATCCACGTACACACATCACACACACCACACACACACAACACCACCACACTGCGCGCGCGTACACACCCAGCACGCCACGTACACCTGCCGCCTGCGACCGCGTATATACACACACACACACACACACACACACGCGCCGCGCGCGACGCAGCACACACGCACGCAACGCACGCACGCACACACACACACACACATACACACACACATATATATATATGTATTAAACCCCATACATTTATACATACATATATATATATAATATTATATCTTCCTTTTTCTTCCTTTCTTCCGTGTTCCCCCCCCCTCTGCCCTCCCTCCCGCGCTCCCGCCGTCGGCCTCTTTTACTCCGTGCTAACAGACAGATAGTGAGTGATACGACGCGCCCCGCGTGGCTTCCGACGCGCGTGAATGCTGCCTGCGCAGACATTGACCGCGTGTGCTCAGACATGCGATGAACTGCAGCAAACACGTTCCTGCCAGTCGTTACGCTCGAGGAAGCTTGCTAGATCTACCGCCTGCCCCTGCTTCCTACCCCATCACCTGCCATACGACGACAAGGTGCTGGGGACGACAATAAGTAGGTGTATTATAAAAATACCTATAATATATATATATTAGTATATATATACTATTATATGTATATAATATATATATATATACATATATATAATAGTATATATATAGTATATATGTGTGTAAGCCGGTAGAGAGAGAACGCACACTTCACGGGGTGCGTGCAACTCGCGACGCGAATGAAGTCCATGCGTAACTCGTTACTTGGGCCGTTTTTATGGTTCGATGTTCCGATTACTTGGTTGCTGAAGTTGCCGTTCGAATTCGTTATATAGGCCATTTCTTTCGCTTCTATCTCTCATTCTCCCTCTCTCTATTGTCTCGTTATCTCTCTCTTTTTCTCGCCTTTCTCTCTCTCTCTCTTCGCGCGCTCTCTTTTCCTCTGTCTGTGCTCTCTCGCTTCTCCATCTCCCTAACTCTCTCTCGCTCTCGCTGTTCGCCTTCTTCAGGCCCTCGTCCTTCTCTGCCGCACGCAAGTGCTCTTTTCTTGCGCGACTCACTCTCTCTCTCTAGCGCGCACGCCCCCTCTCCTCTCTCTTTCTCTCTCCCACTCTCTCCCTCACTTCCAACTCTCTCTCTCTCTCTGCGTTTTCTCTTCACTCTCTCTCTCCTGCTCGCTCTCTCTCTCTCTCTCGTCTCTCTCCATTCTCTCTCTCGCTCTCCCTTCCCCGCTCTTCCTCCTCTCTCTCCCCCTGTTTGCCTCTCAACTCCATCACTTCTCCTCTCCTCCTCTCGCCTCACTCTCACCTCCCTCACTTCCCCCTATCCCTCCCTCTCACTCCCCACTCCCTCACTCCCCACTCACCCTTCTCTCATGCACGACCGTGCCGCTGTGTTATCGCCAGGCCCAGACACACCAGTGAGCGCGACGCGTCCCGGCGTCAACGAGGACGGACTGTCCGTGCTACAAGCCGGGAGCTCACTACGCCATTCGCAGCCTGCTAGTGAGCACAGCAGCACGCTCGCGTCGCCAGCACTGCTGCTACGACCGCCTTATGCGGCTGCTGACGCGCGGGGCCGCGGTGCAGGGCACGCCGAATCTCATCAGTCCGGGAGATATCGCCCGAACTGCATTACAGGTCGACATCACTGCCGTGGGATCATCTGCAGGCGACTGACGAGGGATTATTATAATCGCGCGGTTTTTTTCGACGTATTTAGGTGTCTTTTTTGTTTTTAGAAGATCCGCGATTTTTTTGGGGGGGGGGACCAGGAGATGATGTTTATATTTACGCTTCATTGCTACGAGCAACGTAAAATTTCGAGATCCAGTGTTGTATGTGGATGTGTGTGTGTGTGTTGTGTGTGTAGTGTGTGTGTGTGTGTGTGTGTGTGTGTGTGTGTGTGTGTGTGTGTGTGTGTGTGTGTGTGTGTGTGTTTGTGCTTGCGTGCGTGCGTGCGTGTATGCATGCGTGCATGCGTGCGTGCGTGTGCGTGTGCGTGTGCGTGTATGCGCGCGTGCATGCGTGTCCGTTTACTTCTAAGTTATTAAATCAAAACTATTCAATTATGGTTATCATTTGTTTAGTTTATAATTATAATCAACTTTCTTTGCCATAACAAAAAAGATAAATTAATTAGAGAATATTATAATCACCGCCCTTTGACATCTGAAATGTGAGAGAGATGATGACAACAATGTGTACGCTTGAGAGAGTGTGAAATATTTTCATGTTGCGCTTTAAGTTTAATGAATGCCATAAGTTAAGACGCTGCCATAAGTTTCTTATCTGCAAACAGAAATTCTTGTAAAAAGATCATTTATTGTAGACCTGTTGTCATGTTGAGTAAAGATTTACTCGGATTACTTTCATTTGAACCATTAAAAAATGATGCCAGCGAGAAAAAGGGTTTAAACAGCATTGAGTATGGCATGTATAACATTGTAATGAGTTTAAATGACGAACGTTGAACAGTGATTAATTATGCTTATACTCCTAGGTACAACCAAGTGCGACATTCGAACAACATGAATGTTTGTACGGAGAATCCAGACATGGCTGAATTCCTACGCCAAGCAGAAGACGCGCAGGAGTTTTGATACAGCCTCGCAGCGACATCTGTTGAGCACGTGGGGCAAAGTAAATTAGCTACCCTCACGCGACTGCTTTAGCAGAAGTGAATGAATTGCAGTTTTCGTGTATTTGTATAAATTGCTTAAGTAGAATTACTTAATTGCATTCGCATAACTTGCAAATTGATCGTTGTACAATACATTTTTTTAACATAATATATATATAATATAGTGGTTTCAATTCAGGTGTGAAGCTTTTTTCTCGGAGCATGATTACTGTTCTACATAATATACTCAAAGATAACATTAACTCTGCTATTTCTGATACTTGCCAGGTCGCACCTACATTTTATGATGTGAATGCAATGAATTATTATCATGAATATAATTATATTCTGACATATTTCTGACTTCCGAGCTCACAGATACAACTTAGTAAAATTAAAGTCTCGTTTCATCTGAAACCAAACAGCGACGTAGCAGTAGCACAATTTACTGGTAACGATCCGCTAATATTATAAAGCAAGCTCGGGCAAACTGTTGCGTATGACATTAACTGTAAATAATTCATTATAATGGCGACCAACGAGAAATACTTGCGATATATGCGTTGCTGTACAGCTGCTGAATAATGTGCTGGATTTTATCATAATAATGATCTGTATGAAAATCGCGAAGTTGATATTTTTATTCATAATAAAACCGTTAAAAGTAAACTGCGGTGTTGTTGTGACTATTGCGCAACTTGTCAAGAATAAATATATTCTGTGTGTCAAGAATAAATATATAGGGGCCTATAGAGTCAGAATAAATAAACAGTTAAACATTAAAAAAAATAATGAAATAACAAAATGACAAAATAACAAACTACCGCATGGAAAATACGTATATACGCTATAATATATAAATCAGTGATGTCACATTCAAGTTTGAATTTCAAGTTGTTTTTATAGAATAGATACACACAGAATTATAGAGTATCGGTCCCACACACACGCACACACACACACACACACACACACACACACACACACACACACACACCTGGACACCTCATCTCTATCCTTAACCCAAGTTACACTTCGTAATTGCCGCCGTGCCAAACAAAACAAAAAGTCTACTAATGATAGTTTTATATATAATTCTTGTTGCTATTTTTTCCGATAATTTGTTGTTTGTGTCACAGCGGTGCATGCGTGGACCGCTGCCGTATTGTGTGTTGCAGAGAGAGATTATTGGAATGGGCAGTTTAACAGGAAAATCTATCCGCCGTTTAGGGTCTATGTTCTCCCTGACACTGTTTACCTGGCTGTTTAGACTATTTCTGACTTAAACCTAACCCTAATATATATTAAGTATTGATATTACTGATATATATATATTAGTCAGAAATAGTAAACGAGACAGGAT